CAGCGCCCCGTGGCCGCCCCGCAGCGGGGACACAGCCCCAGTGTCGGTCTGGAGCTGCCTGGAAACCGTGCTGCGGTCCTGGAGCTGCACATGATGCCGTTCTCTCACGATGGTCTTCCAAGCCTCGCGGTGAAGGGGCTTTGACGACGATGCCACACGGCTTTGCTGATGCCCGGCAAAAGGACCGGTTCCTGGCAGTAATCATAGAATGGGTTGGGTGGGAAGGGACCTCAAAGATCATCCAGTTCCAACCCCCCTGCCATGGGCAGGGACACCCTCCACTACACCAGGTTGCCCAAAGCCTCATCCATCCTGGCCTGGAACACTTCCAGGTGTGCTGGTCTGTGGTGCAGATGTGGATGTAATGCAGGGAGTGTTGGTTCCATGAAGCGTGTCAGAACATGCTCAGAAGGTCTTAAAGACAGTAGAAATAATTTGGTTTATAAGACAAATTTGAAGGTTGTAGCCTGGCAGTAGGGTGGAAAAAAAGCCCTTCCACCCTGCTAGAACACCAGAGCACCCCCCCAGAAGGATGTGTTGTAGTTTATTCCTAAGGTAAATAAGGAGAAATCACTGGAATTGAGGGGAGCTGCCTCAATTCAAATTTGGGTGTCAAATGCCACTCGTCCCCGCTGGTCCTCTCGGACAGCTCTTCCCAAAACCCCTGTTCTCCGTTAGTCATAACCCAAATCTCCAGCCCCGTTTACCGCCGCTCAGCGTGTGACCATGCTCACGGCTGTCGCGCCCCCTGCCTCTCGCCCAGGTGTGGTCACCAAGATGAAGATGCAGCGCACCATTGTCATCCGCCGGGACTACCTGCACTACATCCGCAAGTACAACCGCTTCGAGAAGCGCCACAAGAACATGTCTGTGCACCTCTCCCCCTGCTTCAGGTGCGTGCACGGCCCCGCGGCGGCGGGGAGGAGCGTTGCCCGCAACATCGCGGTTGCCCAGGAGTGCCAGACGCGTTCCGGACGCCTCGGACGCGTGTCCGTGTGCGCTGCTCGTAACGCTGAGCTCAGCTTTGGCACGGAAGCCGCAGTGAGTGTGCGTGCCAGGGTGACACACGCAGGTTTGTGGCTGCTCCTGACCTGGAACCTGCTTACTGGTGGTGATGTCTAAACTCACGATGGTCTTCAGAGCCCCTGCTGACAAG